AGAAAATTAGCAACATACGGATAATCTATTTTTTTGCATACCCCCATCTTGCCCCCCCCCCCCCCACTTTCTTTCCACAGGAAAGAAAATTGAAACAGACTATTAACTGAAAAGATCATCTTAAATTTCTTCGTCTATTACCGGTGCGAGCTGAAAAAGAAAAGAGGATTTGCAAAAGAAATCGTCACCAGGATGTTTCAAAGCAGTTACAGAATTAAATGAAAACTTTTCTTCCCAAGCCACAAACAAGGCGCTTTAGCCACTAAGCTTCCTTTTCTTTTGGTGGATCTGATTATCAACGCCGCATAAACCCCGAGTTTTACTAACGGGACCATACGGGCGTGTATCTGCACGCAGAGACGGCGCCCTAACGCGTGTATCTCCGTGGAAATTACACGGGTGAAACGTAGACTAGTAAATATCTGAACTACACTCCCAGATTGTGCTCTGCTTAGTATCCTATTCTCCCCATAGTTAGGTGTCTCCTTTCAACATCTCTGTCATCTCCATTTGAAGATATTTTCAGCGGTTTATCACTGCCATCTCCAGCCCTGCGCATTTGCAGCAGGTTATCAAAATTGCCAGTCCCCCCTGGCTGATGGGTTGCACTGATTACCATCACTGCCCTCAGATATTTGGTGCGGATTCCCAGCACTGCAATATCCACTCTTAGGACATCTGGAGCAGATCAAAATCACTGACTTCATTTTTCAGTAGAGTCAGTGTTAAAGCTTCACACAGCCTCTTCGCAAACGTACTCTGTAATCAACTCCCGCAGAACCAGCCTTCAGTTAAAATTCGGCCAAGCAGCGACCCCTATGTCTGGATTTGCATCTCTTATCGGACCCCTATCTAAACTGATTTGTTAATAATAAAGAGAAAATCTCTTGGCACTGGATGCATAGCCTTAAGAAACTGGAAGGATCACACTGTCTTAGCAAACTCCTTCTCAAGAAAGGCTCTTTAAGGAGAAGTTTATCTGCCCAATGATCTTTGAATTAGATGAGCATGGCCATTTAGGTCGATTTACTTTAAACAGTATACAATTTATTTTAAGCGATTACCTCGGGAATAATCACATTATGCCTAGAGCTGTTAGGTGTTTCTCTCCCTCCTGATTTCAGATGTACACCCTCTCTCCAAAGGAAGGTGACTGCTTTTCACTCTCAGCCCAAGCTCTTTTTTGCTACGTGACTGTTTATCGTCTTTAAAAACGTTGTTCGGTTATTGAGTTGGCACCGTACTCCTTTTTGTTAGGTCTTGCCGAAAGTTAAAGAGATGTTCAAGCAACTGCAACACTGATCTTAGGGGGGAAAAAAATAAAAGGAAGATATTTTTTCCCGAAATACGATTAAAATTACTTTTAGTTTTTTACAGTATTTTAGTCTGTAAAAAATGTCAAGCTAATTTATGAATAGGAGGGGTCGATCACACCAACGTTTTGGACTGTTTAGGTCGTGGGTTTAGGAAAAGATTTTCCTGGAGCTTCTGGCAGCTGCTGCTGATGTTTGTAATTTTCCGTACAGTTTCGTTCTTTTCGCACTTTTGTTAATAAGCTCTGCTATAGGTCTTGTATGGGAGGAAATAAACCCAGAATCTCCCAGACCTTCACTAAACTGATTTTCAAGCTAAGTAGCTTAGTGTAGCAGCTCTGGTCCCAGCTTACTTGCACAAGGAGGAAAAAAATTAAAAAGGACTTTGAAAGGTTGTCTACTAAAGTGACTTAATAAACCGTCAGGAAAAAAAGTGGGCAATGTCCAGTGCAAAAGCAGGAATAGCGTGGTAAGGGATTGGCATTTTCTGATCAGAATTGTGCATAATTAATGGCGTTCGCAGGACCCTGCTCACCCTTGCGCGAATAACTTTGTAGATGAGGAACAAAGCTTTCCTACCAGTCTTACAAATTTCCCCCTCCTTGGCGGGTATTTTCCTTCCTACCTATCTTTTTTTATTATTTATTCTCCAAATCACTGTTATGGGTAACCTGCATTTTGTATTTCTTTGCTCTATTTCCACTCAGGGTTAACATAGTAAAGTTCTCCCCAAAAAGATGCTGGGCTGATAGAAAAGCAAATGAGACTTTTCCCCTTTTTCTTTCCCTTCTTCTTCCTTTTTCTTTTCTCTTTTTTTTTTTTTTTTTCCTTTTTCCTATTTTTTTCCCTCCCTGAACCGATCTGAGCAGGATGAGACCGGGTGGGGGAGGGGATGATTCACATTTCTTAAGCTTCCAAGTGGAAACCTTTCCTGGATACACATTCCACACACATCTAAAGCGCTAAGAAGATTTCGACAGCGTCGGTACCTTATCCCACCTTTATTTACCTGCAACCCTTGTAATGTGACACTTCCATTCTCGAAATAAGGCTGTAAATTTCAAGCCCCACTCAGCTCTGTTATGGCAGCGCATTTTTTTCTGAGTCTCTCTCCTGCTTTGAGGGTGAGATTTTGGAGCGGGGCAGGGGAGGTACTCCTCTCCCTGTTAGACATAGGAAGGGGAAAGTTCGTTATTTCCAGCTGATGGGAGAAGGAAGTTTAATCGACACTGTGAAACGCAGCGGTTCCTTGGAGCGGAGAGGGAAGGGTTGGCCGGGGTTGGAGACACCCGGCGGGGGCGTTGGCATGAGGGGAGGCATCTCCCTCCGCTCCCGCGGCGACCAGTCCCCGGCGGGAACCGGGCTGTAGGGTTCAGCCTGCTGCTGCAAGGTGGGAGAGGGGGAGAGAAGCCCAGTGGAGCGGCCCGGCCCTTAGGGGTGGTTCTCGATCTGGGCTCTGGAAAAGAACGGAGACACTCGTCGTTCCCCACACCACACGCCTCCTTCTTCCCTTCCCCCTTTTCCCCGCCAAACACTTGCATCCCGAAAAGCCGCGGGCCTTCGCGTCTGCGGCCCCTCCCGCCGTCCCTTAAGGAAGAGCTCGGCCGCCCCTTCAGCACAAAGACGGAGCTCCTGGGCGGCGGGGATCGCGGCGGTGAGGGCAGGGCCGGGGGCGGCCGCTCCGCGCCCCTCGGCGGGGTCTCTCCGCTGGGGCGGCCCAGGGACAGCAGCAGCGCCCTGCCCGGCCCTGCGGTGCCGTCCCCTCTCCCGGCAGAGCAGGAGCGCCAGCTGGAGTCGTGGGGCAGAGCGCCCCGCGGCTGTCCCACCGCGGCTGGGAAGGTCGGGACAAGAAACGTCCAGCCTGCGGTCCGCCGCCCCCGCGCTCCTCGTTCTCCCCAGTGGGGGTGTTGGGAGAGCCCCGGCAGCGGTGGGGAAAGGAAAGTTTGCGGTGCCGGCCGGGCGGTGCGAGGCTCTGCTGGTCTCGGCGCGGTTCGGGCGAGCCCCACCACGTCGGGGAACCGGACAACACTCAGGCAGGGCACAATGGTGAAAAGCCCTCTCGGTCCCTTGCAGAGGAGTCCTTTGTCTCCCGTTGCACCTTCCACCCCTCTCCAAGGGGGAAAAGGAGAAGAAGAGGGGGAAAATCCTCTCCTCTAGTCATTGTTGTTAATGATCATAATGACAACAGCTCGTTTTGGTACCTTCGTGTGTCTCCCCACCCATACCCCCTCCCTCCCCCACCCTTCTTCCCGCCGATGTGTTTCCTTTGGTCCCCACTGATACGGGTGGATGGAAGTTTTGACAATCTACGAGACACCCGGCTTCCCCTTCCCCTCCACGCCCTCTCGAGAGCGAGGGCTGGAGGTCTTCTGTGCCCCTCGGCATACATGTCGCCGTTGTTGTTTTGCGGGATTATTTATTGCTAATATTCCGAGAACTGTCGCAATGTCTGTGATAATTGTCGCTGAGTGTCAATCCGTCGGCAGGGCATGAGGAGGAGAAAGGGCGGCGGGGAGGATCACATCTCTGCGGGTCTTTTTTTTTTCTGCATTTTTTGTTCCAAGTAAAAATTCTTCTGGGAAGAACTGCTAGGAGCCTCTTGACTTTCAGTAAAGTTGCGTGTACGTGTTCGTGTGTGAATGGCGTTTGTGGGTTGCTATAGATAGATCGCATTTATTTATTTATTTATCTGCCTTTTTTTTTTTTCCTTAATTGTAAATTGTTATAAGCCGCATGGCTGCAAGGCCCCCTTTTCCTCTCACGGCCACTCTCGTTTGTTCCCGAGGCCAACGACAAGGGGGACTCAATGTTAAAGGTGGAAGAAAAAAAAAAAAAAAAAAAAAAAAAACAACAACAACCCAGCAACACAGTTGTTTTTGTTAAAAGGGGACACACTAAGGCTGCGAAACAGCAAAACCCCAATGTTGGACAGCTGTAAAATCGTGTAGACAGGTTGTCATACAGCAGTGGGGGCTTTTCTGAAAGGAGCCCATTGCTAAACATTAAGTACACAGAGAGCCCGGCAGAGCAGCTGCGCGGACACACGCACACGCGCGCACACACACACACGCACACGCAGGCACCGAGGCAGCGGCCCGGGCTGGGCTGAGCACCACGTGCTGCACCGAGGGGGGCGGCGGGCAAGGGGGGGGAGGCGCGGGGCGGTGCTTGCGGCTCAAGTGGGTGCCAATCAAAACATCAACTTCAAATTGTATCTGAAAGATCAGCCTAGGACCTAAGGGCAGACACATCAGTTGGAGCTCAATTGTTGATCAGATCACATCTAAGGGATTTAGGAGCACAGAAGAGCCGAGATTTGAGGAAAGACGCCCCACTGAATCCTTCCACACTCCTCCTCCTCCTCCTCCATACCTAGGGTGCAATATATCTCTGACAGAAAGAAATCAGAACGAAAAAAAGAAAATTATCGGCTCGATTTCTGTTCTCTCGCCCTGCCTGACTCCAGTAAAGAGAGAGGGGGGAGGAAAAAAGAAAGAGAGAGAGAGATCCAGAGAAGCCCGGGTTTGTTCCGCTCCCCTCCCCGGCTCTTCAGCAGGCTCCCTCCTCCCACTTTTTTTTTTTTTTTTTTTTTAATAATTCCCTATTCCTCCCCCCCTTCCCTCCTCTTTTTTTTTTTTTTTTTTTTTTTTATATTTCTACCGCTTCTGTTGCTGCCGCCAGTGCTGCCGCCGCCGCCGCCTCTGTGCCCGCGCCCCGGAGATGTCCTTCCCCCAGCTGGGCTACCCGCAGTATCTCAGCGCCAGCCAGGCAGTGTACGGGAGCGACCGGCCCGGGGTCCTGGCTGCCGCCGCCGCAGCCGCCGCCGCCGCCGCTGCCGCCTCGGGCCGGCCCGCGGGCGCCGAGCTGGGCAGCGGCTCGGCCGCTGTCACCTCGGTGCTGGGCATGTACGCTAGTCCCTACAGCGCCCCCAACTACAGCGCCTTCCTGCCCTACACCGCAGACCTCGGCCTTTTCTCCCAGATGGTGAGTGAGCACCGCGCTGCCCCCCGCGCTGGCCCAGGCCCTCGGGGCGATGGGGCCGGGGCAGCCGGGGAGCCGGGGGCGGGCGGAGGCCGCGAAGCCAAGCGCGGCGGGCGGCGGGGCGGCTGTGGGGGCGGCTTACGCCCGGCCCGGGGTCCGCTGCGGAGAGGGGAGCGTGTCTGCCGGCGGGTCTGCGAAGCAGAGAGGGGCCGGGGGCGGCGGGCCAGGTCTGCAGGAGAAGTCTCCGTCCTCCCCGTCGTTTTCCAGCCGGGCAAAACTCCTCCGAGTTTTTCTTGGCAGTGAAAGGGCTGTCCAGGGCTCCTGCCTTCGTGTTGTCGGCTTTCCTTAGCAACTCGGCTTTTTTTTTTTTTTTTTTTTTTTTTTCCCGTGTTGTTAGTGTTGTTGTTGACGGGTGATATTGTCGGTCCTGCTGTTTCAATGGGCTTTCCAGCGCGCTCCTCTTTCCGCCTGGTACTTTTCTTTGCCGCCGAGCAATAAACAGGTTCCGTCCGAAAGGCCAAAGTCTCGGTACCTGTGGCGCCAGTTTATTTCGAGGCATTTTCCCTAAGCCTTAAAAATGGGCCGTTCTGTTATCTGAACTTTTCATACTGTGATTATGGCGAGTATCATAGATGGGATTTGCATTAAGCGGAGGAGGGTATCTACATCCCATTATACGCATCGGAGCAGAAAGGCATATTGGCGTTAACTTTAAAACAAATTGAAATCTCCCAAACTGTCCTCTGGCTTCTTTCCCTCTTTTCTTTAGAGCGTAATAGTTAGAAAGTGAGGCATATTTTTTTAAAGTAACTATTTTTATCTCCGGTGTCGTTTAAACGTTTTCGTTGCTGGTATCTCCAAAGTTCTCAGCGGCGGTACGCCATAGGTTCCATTTCATTTTCTAAATGTCCCTCTCTTTTCTCTCCCCGACACATAAAAGTGTGAATATTTATAACTGGGTGAATGCAAGGCATAACTTGCTAGGGTTTTTAATACATATATGTAGGCAAGGAGGTAGGTACTCTGTTGAACAAGGTTCAGCATCTGAAAACAGATAATTTTGCTGCTGCAAACATTTCCTGCGAAGTCACGTTTACAGCATGTATTTCCTACTTTTTTTTTCCTCCTTTTTTTTTTTCCTCTTTAACCTTGATTTTGGAAATGTAGTAAAATTTGAGACGGAAGCAATGAGTGATTTACAAGTGGCTTCTTCAAAAGAATTCCCAACAGAGATTACACAAAAATATCATTTCAACAACAATAACAAAAGACAGCGAAATAAAGGGAGTGTAGAAAGCCCACCTTGTAACACATTAAAAAAATTACGCCAGACTACTCCCTGTGTATAAGCAGTGTCTCTGAAATTAAAATATATGACTGTTTTTAACTGTTTGACAAAGTTAAATTAGTTTCTTCGCAGACATTATTGAACAGGTCCATTTTTAAGGCTGACATAAATTACGACAGAGTAATACTAAGAATGTATTTCTGGACTATGAAAAAAAGCGACGTTGCAATAGAAGCAATGAAGAAAGAAAACTGCTTGAAATGTTAGCTATTTTGGAACAGTTCCCATTCCTACTCTCAAAGTATCCTGGTATTTTATTGCAGTGATTTACCATGACGGTGATATTTTGAAATAAATTCTGAATTTCTGAAAAATTTTAAACCGAGAGCTAAAATATTAGGTTAATATCTGGACAATTTGCGGTAATAATGAGGCCTAATGAGGTTGCTAGAAAGATAAAATGTTATTTACCAAAACACCTGATGGGATAATTTGACTTGCTGTGTTTTACTACTGATGATAAAAAGAATATTGATTGCAAATAAATCACCGTCTCTAAACGCTTGTAAACAATTTGCGTTTGCTCTGGCCAGATCAAAGTAAAACTTATGAGGTAAAGTGTCTGCATATCCGTATTCTACAATGCGTGGATCACTTTTCATTCCAGAGTTTAAAGGCTCTTCGAACAGTTAGAAGTTAATGTTTTACTCCAGAATCTTGGTGTATGATCTGGGGAGCGAGGGTGGTGGTGTTGGCTTGTGTGTGGAAAATCTTTTATGTTATTATTGTCTTTGTACTGAAGTTGTGCATTCATGTCCCCAGTCTCGCCTCACTAGGGGCAAAAATAAAGAATGCTGTGCATGCATTTGTAGCATCCTCCTGAATACTTTGCAGATAATCAATCCGACGCTGTGCACGGGCATTAGTTTGTAAGTGCGGTGTAGTACCAGTTTTATCTGTCTGATAATTTCAAGGGCACAGTAAATTGTCTCGCCGAGGCGAAGTTGCTGCATTTCCATCGTTTGATTTGACTTGATTTTCGGAGAAAATACGCACGATGTCTGTCAGAGCTCCGCTTAGCATCTCTCTTTCCTTTTTCTGCAAGAAAGGGGAATCATTTGGGAACAGTCTCTGACCTAAACGTGAAGAGCCTGGAGCGGGGAGGGCCGAATTTGGCTGTGAAGACCTTATGCACCGCTGAAAGGCGTATTCCGGCTCCCGGAGTAGCCTATTCAGGTCTGTTAGAGACGCTAACGAGATAATTGATGTGCTTTTTCCTCTCCGCTTGTCTGAATGTGTTGCAGGGCTCCCAGTACGAGCTGAAAGATAATCCGGGTGTCCACCCTGCTACTTTTGCTGCCCACACTGCCCCCGGCTATTATCCCTATGGACAGTTCCAATACGGGGACCCAGGACGGCCCAAAAATGCCACTCGGGAGAGCACCAGCACCCTCAAGGCCTGGCTCAACGAGCACCGCAAGAACCCTTACCCCACCAAGGGCGAGAAGATCATGCTGGCCATCATCACCAAGATGACCCTCACCCAGGTCTCCACCTGGTTTGCCAACGCCCGCCGGCGGCTCAAGAAGGAGAACAAGGTGACCTGGGGCTCCAGGAGTAAGGACCAAGAAGACGCAAACCTCTTCGGGAGTGACAATGAGGGGGACCCCGAGAAGAACGAAGATGATGAGGAAATTGACCTGGAGAGCATAGATATAGATAAAATTGATGAGAACGATGGGGAGCAGAGCAATGAGGAAGAGGAGGAGAAGCCTGAGCTCCTGAGACAAAACAGTGAAGAGGAGCACTTGGAAAAGGAAAAGGATTTGGCACTGTCAGGGTCTGAAGGGCTGAAACCCAAAGATGCACTGGCCATGGTGAAGGAAGCCTCTGACAACAGCACCAGAATTATCAGTCCCGGGGGACCGAACAATTTACAGATGCCATCTCACAGCAAACCCAAGATTTGGTCTTTGGCAGAGACAGCAACCAGTCCTGATGGTGCCCTGAAATCTTCTCCTCCTCCACCCCCTCCTCCCCAGGTTAACCACACTTCTCCTCAGATCCAGCACCCTGCTTTTCTCCCTAGCCATGGACTCTACACATGTCAGATTGGCAAATTTCACAACTGGACAAATGGGGCGTTCCTCACTCAGAGTTCCCTGCTAAACGTGAGGTCTTTTTTGGGAGTAAATCACCACCATGCTGCTCATCACAATCACCACCTCCAGGCCCAGCAACCATCTTCTGTTTTAACAGCAACCCTGGGAGCCCTAAGCAGTGAAAAACCTTCAGAGAGGACCAGTCCCAAACACATAGGTAATTAATGCATCAGGCATTCACCTCTCCCCCCGCCCCCAACATATGTATATGAACTTCTTGGGAAATGGTGTCACATTTAGCCCTGGTGTAATTGATTGCTTTTAACTGAGTTACAGTTTACTCTAGCCTTGATTTCTGGCCCCCCTCCCAAGCATGTTGATTGCATATATTAAGCCCATTTCATGTAGCCTATTACATTCCCAATCTATACACCCATCAAGTCAAATGAGAGTGCAGGAATAGCACTGTGAAATGTATAGTTTTGAGTTTGCTTTACTTCCCTCCTTCATGACCTTCATCACCCAGCAATTTCAATGACACTAAAAATGTGTCAAGAAAACCTTGCAGACTCCTTAAATACTGAAAGTAGGGAATAGTGCTGTACACACATGCACACACATATCTACATATGTCTCAACAGGAGCGTGAGAGGGACACTCTGCACACTGTCCAGATTCTTATTGTTGTTATTCTAAAATGGTTCTCTTGTTTTGTTTTGTTTTTCTTTTTCTCTCTCCTTTTTTTCCCCCCTGTCTCCTAGAAAGAGAAAATGTACCAAGAACTGACTCCCCACCCCAGCCGCTAAAATCGCCCTTCCAGCCGGTCCGTGACAAGTGAGTTTGTTTGTTTGTTTTCACTGCAGGAATGTTACTTATGCGAAACAGTGTTTGAATAATAAAGACTAATTATAACACCTAATCATCACCATAATAATACATAAAGACAATAAAAACAGCACAGGAGTGGCTGTAATCTTTTCAAATTTAGACTAAATTGCAATTGTACATAGCCAGACTGTAACTTTTCTAAAACTTAACAGACTTCAAAGATCTTGTGTTAATTACACCAGTCAGAATGATTTTTTTTTGGAATTATCTAACACTGGGATGCTATAGGAATAGACGGGCAATTAAAAAAAAAAAAAGATATTTATTTCTGAAAGATTGTTACGTCTTTTTTTTTTTCTCCCTTCCCCCCTGCAGCTCTTTGGCTCAGCAAGAGGGAACACCGAGAATTTTAACAGCTCTCCCTTCTGCTTGATTAAATGATTTGGTGAAAAAATATTACAGAGACTGGTATTAAGGACAGAGAAAAAAAAAAGGAAACGGTATAAACGACTCCCATCAATCTCTTTTTGCAATAAGGTGGTGCAAATCCATAAAAGTGATTACACAAATCTGTAGATGGATCCCCTTCCTCATTGTACCATTTCAGATCGTGTTATTCTAACCATTCTTGGATTATTGGTTTGGTAAATGTTTCCCATGTGTTTGTGGGGGTTTTTTGTTTGTTTTTTTTTTTTTTTTTTCTGTATATAGAGTGATTTCAGATTGTAAATAACACGTCAGCAAAACTTGTCTAAATCATATATTTTTGTCTAATAAACTAAATGAAATTATGAACTCTCTTCAGGTATGTATTCTGTTGCTGCAGATCTTATACATATATTACAAATCTATTCAAACATTTATAATTTGTTTCCTAAAAAGTCAAGTCTCTTTGCCTTTGGGTAACTGAAATTTAAACAGCAAATCCCAGCTTTTAGTGACTCTTAGAGCTATTTTGCTGAACACAAGCTGCGAGCTTCCTTTTTCATGCACGCAAATTTAAGAAGTTGAGTGAAGCTGGTTCTTGACTAGTAAAATTAAAGTTATTTTTTTCTATTGTGATGAACGAGATGTGTTGTGTAGTATCCATTTTCCGGACATAAATGGACCTGACTCTTACTTATGTTATAAAATACATTCTTAAAATGAAAGGGACAAGTTTTCTCATAGTTCCTTAGTTTGCTGTCCAAACTGGTTCTGATATTGGGTCAAGAGCTTTACCGCTGTGGTATACATTCCTACCGAAGACGAAAAAAATCATAGTTTAGGAAAAAGAATTATTTGTAATGATTTGCGCTTTAAATAAACACAGAGGAAATATGACTGTAAAAGATGTTTTCCTGTGAGACTAAACACAATCTTAGCATTTAGAAGAAAAAAAAAAAGGCAGCTCTTACACGTCTCAAAAGAAAGTTCTGCGATTCCGATCTGTTGGTTAAAAATAGAGACAGGATCTACCGTTTTATAAAGGCATTAATCTTCCAAAGATTGTCCGTTAAAATGTGTAATATTTTGAGTGTTTACTTCTTTTTTTTCTCCTAAATGAGAACATTAAATGAGCATTGAGGTGCTAATAAGATACCAGATGGTTGTTGATGGTGGAAAATGGAAAGAAGCAGCTGGGAAAGTCATTAAGAAATAATGCGGTGACGCCCTATCCAAACTGAACCAACCTCAAACCAGGACTTGTCGGAAGCAAGATGAGATTTTTCAAATAAAATATTAATTAAATTCTTGTGAGAGATCAGAATATTGATCTTGATTTAGCTGCAAAATCATCTCAGTCAAAGAGCAGTCTCGGTAAACTATGGCTTAGAGATCTGTTGGCAAAGTGGTGGAGGCGGTGGACTCCTACTTTTTGAGCTTTTTTCATGGAGCAAACAGGTCAGGCAAAATAGATTTTGTGAAGGATATCTGAAGGAGAGTTTCTAAAAAGAGACTCATTTTGATATCCTGCCGTTCCCAGCATACCATCAATTAGTTTTTTTCTGGCCTTTGGTTGTTTGGGTTTTGTTTCCCCTTTTCCTAAGTCACGGATAGTCTCGTGGTAGTAGTTGTTGGTAACTGTTCCAACAAAAGAGAGTATTACACTTTTTACCAAACCAGAATAATTTAGCCTTCAGGGAAAGGGAAGTCGTATTTAAAAAATATTAAAAAAAAAAAAAAGGGAAGAAGAAAGTCTTCACGCCTGTAGAGCCAAACAGTACGTCAGGTGTAAACCTGATGCAATTGCTGTCTCTCTCATATCAATTCAGATGAAATCGTCGCAGTCCTGCACTGGTTACCCCTCGTCCCTGCTCAGGGCCGGTTCCCCAATTCCTCTCGGGAGGCGCGGCCGGCCCCAAGCAACCCGGCGGTCCGGAGTGACGCCACCGCCGGGGACAGATCCCGACCCCAGCCCCGCTCCGCCGCGCGTTTGGCTGTCATGGACTGGCTCCGCTCCTCCAAGGTGAAGACGGCATCTAAAAGGCGCGCAGAGATGCTCTGCGAGGCGGAGCGAGCGCGGCGGTATCGAACTGGCCTGGGGGAGCGGAGCGAGAACTACATCGTGGCATAGGAGTGTCAGGGGGGACTTGAACTGTAGGCAGCAGAGGAGCGTGGGCGTGTGAGCCTCGTGTGTGTGGGGGCATTCCCGCTCCCTGACCGCCCCCGCCAAGCCGAGCGGTTCCGAGCGGTGCTGAGCCGAGCCCAGCGGGGCGCAGGCCGGGCTTTGGGCGGGCTCGCAGCGCCCTCTGTGGGCTGCGGGCGGCGCCGTCCCCTCGCCCGGCGCGACGCCAGCCAATGTGCCGGCCCGCGGCTCTGCTCAGCTGGGCGGGAGAGGGGGAGGCTGCCCGCCTTGAATCCAGCCAGGAAGCCAGCAACATCCTCCGGAGTGTGCTTCCAGTTTTGATTATCCTCCGGAGAGTGATAATTCCCAGTAGTTATCTGGTTGGCAGGTTTCCGCCTTTGGAAGCCTCAGCATCTCTAGACCTGACTCTGCTGCAGAACTGGATTTTTTTTTTTTTTCTCATTTGCTTATTTGAATTTCGCACTACCTTCCCCCTCTCCTTCCCCGTAACTCTAACAATTGTGACGCTTCCTTCCCAACCCAGATATTATCGGGGGGGGGGGGGGGGGCGGTGAATGAAGTCCAGCTAGGTTAGCACCGTTCACCACCTCTCCCCACCGCTCCCGGAGCGTTTGACTGGGGAAAGCACCCGGCTCCTAGCTCTCCCCTGACTGGCAAAGGCGGAGGCGGCCTGGGAGCTGAATGCTGGTTGCGGGAGGAGCGCGCCCAGGGCTACGGGCTGCCTGCTCGAACGGAGCTTGCTTGCGGCGCTCCGAAAGTTTTTGGACAGGAGCTCAGGTGGCTTCTCCTTAGAAAAGGGAAAACCGAAAAGTCATAAGGTCTGCTGAGAAGCCCCGTGTTAAGTGAGAAAAGCTCTGGCATGGCTGCGTGCTCAGTGCCCAGTAAACCCGCAGCTTCCGAGGGCCGCTGCCTCAGCACAGCCAGCACCTGGGGGAGAGGGGTGATCGCGTCTCCCTTCCCCCGCAGGCCACAGCGAGGTGGCCATTTCTCCTGCAGGAAGTTTCAGATAGAGCGGACATGTGCGACCGGTCATTGCGTTACCGCACCCTTGGAGGCTGCTGCTGGGGTGCGGTGCCGAGCCCGGACCGGGCGGGACTTCCACACACCGCCCCCGCCCCGGTTTTTAGGAAGGAGCAGGGACTTCATAATCCCGAGGTTTCGCTTGTCACGTGAATCGTGCTAGGAATGACCGTTTACGTCACCCTAGAAGGAAAATAATTTGTAGTTTTTCTGTCATAATTTCCTTGAGATCCACCCCGGCAGTTGTATACCAACAAATACCAGAGCGAAGGGAGAATACCAAAGAAGCTTAAGCTAAACGATTTGCCTTAATTGGAATGCTTCGAGCTGATAAGAGTAAATTGGAAAGTATTACTTTCCAAGCTTTTTTTTTTCTTTTCAATGATGACCGTACCCGAACCTGATAAACCAAGTCAATAAGAAAATTTCCATTGTATCGGATGGGAACTACAAGGAGCAATACTTTTTTCAGCACAACAACTTAGCTCCAAGATACATTTTCGTGCTACTTAAAAGGCTGCCAGAAAAAATTGTTTTATACGTTTTCATAATCCTCCATCCTACTCAGTAAAAAAATTATCTCACTGTCTTATTTCTGTTATTATTTACTTAGCATTAACAGAAGAATGGCAGAAATCTGTGAAGAAAGAACACTGAAAAGTTGATATAATCTCGAGTTCAGCAAACTCCGAAATTCGCAGTTGCCAGAACACACTAAAAGCAAACGGCAGCTTTGCGGGGATTTGGCTTTGTCGCAGAGATGTAGTTATGAAACGTGCTCATTGGTATGCGTGCCTCATTTTTTATTCTTTTTCTGTTTTATTCTGAAAAAGAACTCCATTTTTAACTAGGAAAAAAAAAAAAAAAAGAGAGAGAGAGAGAAAAGAAGAAAGCAGAGAAAGGGAAGGAGAAAATTAGTGGAATGCATGTGCTCAAACTGGCTCGTTCGTATGGTTGTTATCGTTCCCGGCTCCTGTCATCTCTTTTTGCTGCTTTGGTTGAGGTTTTGACGTGCTCGCTCGGAAACTGGAGCGGCCTCGAATTCACCGCCGGCAGCAGCGACCGGCCGGAGCTGGGGCAAGGGCGCGGTGCGGGATGAGGCTGCCCCCCCGCCGGGAGCGCCGCACCAGCCCTCGTCGCGGGGCTCGTTCGATCTCTCGGTAACTTTCATGATATGACTATGTTTTCCCCCACCCACCCCCACCACTTCTTTTTTCTTTTTTTTTTTTCCATGGGCGCCGATCAATTATTCACAAGCACATTTATCTCCCCTGCAATATGGAGAATTCATATTCATATCTCTGTTTTAGTGGCCTGACACTGATTAATGTAATATGCGCCGCGGCTCCGAGCGCAGCCCCGCTCTATGAATCATGCACTATAAAGTTTCAATCGTCCTTGTAGATGAGACTATTACAAAGAGCGCTGAGCGGCGGGGGCGGGGAGGCGGGGGCTGGCGGCAGCGATGGCTCTGCGCCTCGGCCGGCCACCGGCCCCCTGTTAAACAGGCTCGTATTGAAACTACCCGGCGGCTGGCGGGGGACAATGTGGGTCCGGCATTAGTTCCGCCCGGCGGGGCTCCCGCTGACGCGGGTCCCCTGCTCCGCCCGCCCGCGCCCACCGCCGCCCGGCCTCGGAGAAGGGACTGCGGGGCTCTCGCCCCGTCCCCGTCGACCAGGCAGTGGCGGGAAGAGCCGCGCTGGGCCGCTCGGCTTCGGAGGAGAGGTGGGCTGCCCGGTGGCCACCCTGAGGAACGGGTATCCTGAGGCAGGAATGGGGCTCAGGCTGCCCCGGGGTGTGCCCTGAGGCTGGGCACTCGCACTATGGCTGGGAAGGGAAGGCATTGAAGGAAGTCTCCATTCAGTTTCAGTGCTGTTAGGTTATTTTTATTTGTTTATTTTTAATTTATATTTTTTTTAATTTCTGAATGTCCTTAAAAGGAGAGATGTAAAGAGTAGCCAGGGCTGACAGAGGCACACAAGCAGCGCAGGGGAAGGGCAGGTGGGTAGTAAGTGCTTTGTGAAAGGGAGAGTGAAACAGTACACATCCTCTACTCCCCTGCTGCTGCCTCAATTTTGGGATGAGGCCCCCCTGCCACACTGGTGTCCACCCTCCACCTAAGCCCTGTGTTTGGTGCTGCATGCCTGCAGGCTTGCAGGTGCATGGAGGGGAGCCACCTCCAGCCCCAAAACCCAGCTGCCCACCATAGGTCAGGAACCCATGGCCGAAATATTCTGGAGCAGGTCCCTTCTGGCCTGTGGGGGAAGCATGTGGCAGATGTGGAGCTGAGCTATGCAGGACCACATGTCCAGGACCACTCTGCCAGAAAGGGCCACAGTGATGGCCAACAGGGTCTGAGCCCACCACTCAGCTCTGTGGGGGCTGCAGTGAGGAGGGATATGGGGCCTGATTCCAGGCTTCAAGTCGCCGGGTTTCAGCAGTAAAACTTACCTGGGACTAACAAATCAAGTAAAATGCTGGAACATGTAATAAACATGGCCTGCGTGGCATGTTTTCCAGTGAAAAGTTACAGAAACGGCTCCTGGCAAGGTTGGTGTTCCCCATTGTGCGGTGCCCCCATGCAGTGCCGTTCATAGCTTGCCCATAAAAGCAGCCATGTGGACAGGAATCGCTGGAAGTACTAGGAGACTGAAAACCCCATAGAAATAGGTATTCAAAATTTAAGACTTCGAAAATATGAGCTCTTAAAACTAAACAATGTACTTCTGTAAGGAATTAATTTACTTGAGTCCCGTCATCATTATTAATATTAGTTTTGGCTTCTTTTTTTTGTGTATGTGAAGAGAATACATGCATGGGATTTTGTAAAAAAAGTGAAAAATACATCTATTATCTG